GATAAGAATTTCCTTAAGGACAGACATTAAAACTTTCAGTTCCTTTAGAAAGGGCTGAGCTGAGAATGTGAAGCTCTGAGCTCATCCTTTACTTTCCCCACTTTCTCCAGTTAAGAACAACCAGTTAACTGTATTATACTAGTTAAACTAATATGTGTTAAGGTATCAAATACATGGTCACACAGGACATTGCCTTTCATAAACATGCGTTTAAGAGTAACCAATAATAATATTTTGCATGTCTACTGCCACATCACAGCATAGTCCGTTACCACTGGAAATACCGTCATTTGTGCCTTTAAATATAATCAGATTAGAGGATCATTCCAGAAAACCCAAACTCAATTAATAAAACTCAACCTTATGACTATTTCTCTGGAATAATTCTTGCTACCAAAATCTATATAGGTCAGAGTTCTGCAGAGAAATAGAACCAGTAGGATGGTGTTCTTTCTTTCTAATCTAGCTATCTATCTGGCATATTTCAAGGAATTGACTGATATAATTGTCGGGGGCTGACAACAACATCTGTGTGGCAGGCCAGTAAGCTAGAAACTCTTGGGCAGGAGCTGATGTCACAGTCTTGAGATAGCACTTTTTATTTTTGGGGAAATCCTGTGTTTGCTATTAAGGTAATTCAACTGATTGGATGAGACTCATCCACATTATAAATAATGTTCACTTTATTTAAAGTGAACTGATTGCAAATGTTAATAATCTTCACAAATTATCTTCACAGCAACACCTAGATGAGCACTTGATTAAATGATTGGGTATTGTAGGCCAGACAAATGGACATGACAAATTAACCATCATACATGGGTACTGCCTTCTTTACTTCATTCAGAGTATCATTCTTAAGAAATACTTTTAAAAACAAAACTAATAAAATAAGAATCTCCAGTTCTAATTATCTGGAATGCTTTGCCAAAACAAATGAGATGCTGCAAAATACGCATTTTCAATATTCCATTCATTACAGAATATAAATTTGTCTAAATAAAAATAGATGCTCATCAAAAATTTTATTTATTTATTTATTTATTTTGAGACAGAGTTTCACTCTTGTTGTCCAGGCTAGAGTACAGTGGCATGATCTCAGCTAGCTGCAACCTCCACCTCCTGGATTCAAGCTGTTCTCCTGACTCAGCCTCCCAAGTAGCTGGGGTTACAGGCATGTGCCACCATGCCCAGCTTATTTTGTATTTTTAATAGAGACAGGGTTTCATGATGTTGATCAGGTTGTTCTCAAACTTCTGACCTCAAGTGATCCACCCACCCCAGCCTCCCAAGGTGCTGGGAATACAGGTGTGAGCCACCATGCCTGGCCCAAAAATAATTCTTCTTACAAGTTCACATTAAAAAACACAATTATAAAATTTCAAATTTAACTCTTGTACAGTGTTTTATTCTTATAGCATATATTCACTTCCTTCTTCACTTTTGTAGTGACAATTTCAATCGCTTCTAATATAAATTTTGTTTTTAATAATTAAAATTTGCTAAAAGTTTCAAAACTTTAAGTTTGGCTGAAGTTCCATCCAACAAACACTTTGACTAAAGATCCACAACTGATTTTGAACAAATGGCAACAAAATGAATAGAGGACTCATTTACAAACTAGTTCAATACATTGTAGGGCACTAGATTGGTTTTCAAAGTCTTTCTTCAAAGACAAGCATTTGTAAAATGTGACTGACTTTGGACAACAAACTAAAGTACATACTGTCATACTTCATCTTTTTTTATTTTTTTAGACAGTCTCACTCTGTCCCCCAGGCTGCAATGCAGTGGCACAATCTTGGCTCACTGCAACCTCTGCCTCCCGAGTTCAAGCGATTCTCCTGTCTCAGCCTCCTAAGTAGCTGGGACTACAGGCACACGCCACCATGCCCAGCTAATTTTTTTGCAGTTTTACTAGACACAGGGTCTTACCATGTTAGCCAGGCTGCTCTCAAACTCCTTATCTCAAGTGATACACCTGCCTCGGTCTCCCAAAGTGCTGGGATTATAGGTGTGAGCCTCCGCGCCCGGCCATGCTTCATCATTTTAAAATTCAACATTGATTAAATCACCAAATATTATCCTTCAATTACTTTAGACATTTTCTTAGCTCACGTTCCTCCTTCTTCATGTTATTCCTCAGATATGATCTTTGATTATTCACTTATATTTACAAAAAAAAAAGGAAATTTTGCTTAATACAGGTTATTGATAAGACTTCTGTGCAACTGTTAACTCTGTCTCCAGCAGCCAAAACTGGCTTCTTCTGTTATGCTGGCAAACTATCTAATTTAAATTTGCTTTGGGTGCCTTATTTTAAATGAAGCATTATTACTGATAGTTGAATTAAAATAAGCATGGACTGGTTTGATGTACTTCTGCTTTTTACTTTCAGGTACTGCCATAGTCAGATCTACTGATGCGGCTGACACGAGTGCACTGAAGAGAATTCTCATTTTAACATCTGGTTAACTCTGAAATTCTCCCACTGATAAACCACCTTTCTTCCAGATCCTTTACAAATGCTGTGTAACTAACACCTCTCTTTCAATGTCAACAAAGTAAGGTAGAGAGCAAAGTAAGTAAAACAAAGTATGCTCAGATATGAGTGGTTGAAGTTCCATCTTCCATGAACTCATGAAAGGAGTTCCGTTTTTTTTGTCAGAACATAGGGACAGATATATCTTCATGAATTATCTACTAGTAAAGCCAAACTAATCACTTTAATAATAATTTAGTGGCATATCACAATACAAATATATGTCTCGTTCATTAACAGTCACTATAGATGTGTCTGGTCAGTGACTAGGCATTTGCCCATGATGCTTCAGGAACCCAGGTTCCTGCCAGCTTACAAATAGGTTCCACAGTTCAAATAGGTTCCTCTGTCACCTATGACTAGGTGATGGGATGGCACAGAGCAATTCTTAAAGGTCTTGGTCTGGAAGTAACACCTATCACTTCCATTTATATTCTGTAGCTGATTACTATTCACAAGGCCATACAAGGAAAGGGGACTAGATGTAATCCTTGACTGGACAACCATGTTTCAATTACAATTCCATATTATGATGGGAAGTGCAGCACAGTTGCTACTTGACAACAATCAATCAATGTCATTGATTCTTAACTGCTTACGTTAAATTAAAATAAATTCCAGAGGGATTAATATTTAAAAACTTTTAAAGCAGATAATTATTGTATTAGTTTATTATTGCTGTTATACCAAAATACCTAAGATCCTGTTTACAAACAACAGGAATTCATCTGGATGGGGAAAGCCCAAAATCAAGATGTTGGCAGGTTTGGTGTTTGGAGGGCCCAGTCTCTGCTTTCAAGTTGGTGCCTTGTTGCTGCACCCTCTGGAGAGAAGGAAAGCTACATCTTCATGTGGTGAAAGAGTGGAAGGGCAAAAGGACCTAGCTAGTTATCTCCAGCACTTTTATAAGGTCACTAATCCCATTCACAAAAGGTATACCATCATGACTTATTCACCCCTAAAGGCTATCGCATTGCGGTTTGAGTTACAACCTTTGAATTTTGGAGGAACACATACATTCAAACCACAGCAGTTATAATCACAAAAAAAATTATTATGACAAAAAACAGAACTCAGGAAGGTAAAGTACTCATTAAGTGAATTACAAAAATAAGTGATGCAATGAGCAAAATGGGGGGAGAGGAGTGCTTGTAACTCTGATCACAAGAAAAGTGGTCATTTTCTTAACATATGAACAGTTCCTATAAACCAAGAAGAAAATTCCAAAAATCCAATAGCAAAACTATAGAATGGAATAGGCACACGAAATATATGACAGTTTACTCAAAAAGGAAAGATAAGGATACTAAGCAATAAATTCAAAATTAAACCAAAGTAAGATACCAGTGGCACAAACCACTTTGCTGACATTGTAAGATAGGCTATGGCAAATTCATATATTGCTTATGAGGGTATAAATTAATACAACTTCTTTGGATTTTAATTTCTCAATAGCTCTAAAAATTTAAAAGCACTTATCCTTTGGCCTAGTGAATTCACTCTAAAAACATTATCTCACAGATATGGTTCTTGTGTACAGGTTAAAAAAATGATACTCATTTACTGAGCACTGTTTATAAAAGCAAATGACTAAACAATCTATGGGTCTGTCAATAAGATTCTGGCTAAATTATGTTTCTATCATACATTGGCAAAGTATAGAGTAGTTCCAAAAAAATAAGATAAATGTATATGCACTGACATGTTCAAATCTTCTGCCACTGTAGATGAAAAATGTAATTGCATAGCATGTGCAGTAATATTTATGAAACAGGTAATTTGCTATATCTTTGATATGCATGTATATGCGTAGAAAGGGTTTGTGTATGCGTAGAAAGAGTTTGTAAGGATGTAGACCCACTTTTTAACACTTCTAAGACACTTGGATGGAAAGATTTCGATTTTTCCCCCTACTTTTCATTCTATGCATTTACGTCTTTTTACAACGAGAAGGTATGTACATGTTACACCTGTGGACAGAAAATAAAAATAATAGCTAAGTCCAGTGTGTCAGGTTCACAAAAGCCTTACCTGAAACTGCTACTGAGTGAATGCCCAGAAAGGTAAAATCGGTCACTCAGGACACGTGGAATTTCTGTGCCATTTGTGTGCGTGGAAGAAACACCCAAATTCTCCCAGTAAGTTGCGAGTTCCATAGGATAGGCACGCACTTGATGGTCTTGAAGAAGCGTTCCTTGTATTTGCTGAACCTCTGAGAGACCAGGCAGGCCACACAAACACATTTCAGATTAGTTGGGCCCAGGGGCAAACCGCGCGCTCTCAGCACAGCCTCCGCTGCCCGGCGCGCGGCCGGAGCGCAAACTCCCCCAGAATTTCTCCAGGAAACCGTTGGGTGGGGCCAGGAAACCGTTGGGTGGGGCCAGGAAACCGTCTGGTGGGATCTCCGCAGCTGCTTTTCACCTGCTGTCCTGCCTGTGCTTCCTTAGAGGAAGAATCAATGCCGCAGGTGGAACCTGAGCCCGAGACGTGGCCGGAGCAGAAGCCCAAGCTCACCAAGCGGGACTCCGCGACCGGGACCGAGTGGAACTGGGAATTTGAGGAATCAGAATCGAAGGGCAAGCAGCCACCCCCGGGACCCCCCGCACCCCCAGGATCCCTGGCGTCGGAGGGGGACGATGCACCACCCCTGCCGTCGGAGGGGAAGGATGCACCACCCCTGCGGACGGACGGGGACGACGCACCCCGGCCGGAGGGGGACGATGCACCCCCGCTGCCATTGGAGCCGGACGTTGCACCCCGCCTGCCGTTGGAGCGAGACGATGCACCCCTGCCAGAGGAGGAAACCCCCAAGCCCATAACCGTCAGCGGTCACCGGCGCCGCTGTCACACCGACTGCCTAGAGGCGCCGCTGTCCCGCGCCTTCCAGTGGCTGGGATGGCAGGTGGGCGCGCACCCCTGGGTCTTCCTGCTGGTGCCCTTGATGCTGACGGCCGCCCTGGGCACCGGCTTCCTGTACCTGCCCAAGAACGAACAGGAAAACCTAGAGTACCAGTACACCCCGGTGGGGAGCCCGGCCAAGGCGGAGCGGCGCTTCGTGCAGGGCCATTTCACCACCAACGACTCCTACCGCTTCTCCCCCTCCAGGAGAAGCACGGAGAGCAATTTCATCTCGCTCCTGGTGGTCTCCTACAGCGACTCACTGCTGGACCCGGCCACCTTTACAGAAGTCAGCAAACTGGACGGCGCGGTACAGGATCTGCGTGCGGCGCAGGAAAACGGAAGCCAGATCCAATACCAACAGGTGTGCGCGAAGTACAGGGCGGGCTGCGTGCCCCCCAATCCGCTCCTGCACGCCTGGCAGGTGGACAAAACGCTCGACCTGAGCAGCATCTCCTTCCCCATTTACAACCACAGTGGGCACCCCCTCTACCTGACCGGCTTCTTTGGAGGACACATCCTGGGGGGCAGCCTAGGAATGGGCCAGTTACTCCTGCAGGCCAAAGCCATGCGGCTGCTGTACCACCTGAAGACCGAGCTCCCTGAGGACGATGTGCAGAGCAAGCAGTGGATCATCAATTTCCTCGATCAATTAAACAACATTAAGAAGAGCCTGGCCTTGAAGAAAATTGAGGTACCTGGCGGTTCGGGTCTATAGGGAGGCCAGGAGGTGGGAGGGATGAGGAAGACTTGCACCCAGAACCCTAACAAAAGCACTGCCTGACTGCTTGATGGAGTCCTTGCCCCTAGGCTGGGTGTGCCCTACTGTATTTGGTATTCAATCCAATTAACACCGACGATGCCCCTTGGTAACATTCCAGCTGATAACACAAATCCTGTGTCCACCAGATGGGCTTGTTCAGTACAGACATTGATCTTCATACTTAATTTTGGCGTTTGGTTTCTAATAAATGACAGTACTCTGAAATTCTACTTTTAGTTAAAGTCTTCACTGGTTTTGGGGAGCTCCCTAAAACTTGATTGGAGTTCATTGAGATTAAAAAAACAAACGACATTTTACGTAAAAGTTCCATGATGTTAAGAAGATAACTAGCTTAGCATTTTTCAAGTTAGTTACATACAAAGCACCTGGCTTAGTGTGAGGTACGTATTAGCTGTTCAATTATCGCTGGGTCAGCAACCCTATTAAGGCATGTAAGGGAAAGAGACACCTGCTGGGAGGAGCTTTCAAAGACCAGGCCCTCCTGAAATATTTATACAATTGAAACACTAAAAGACACCAACCAATACAAATTTAGAAAAAGTTAACAATTTTTGCAGCTGTTAGTGAGAACAAGATTAAACAGTTTTAGGCCTGGCACGGTGGCTCATGCCTGTAATTCCAGCACTTTGGGACACAAAGGCAGGTGGACTGCTTGAGTCCAGGAGTTCAAGACCAGCCCAGGCAACCTGGCAAAACCCCATCTCTACAAAAAATACAAAAGTTAGCCAGGTATGGTGGCACAGACCTATAGTCCCAGCTATTCAGAAGGTCCAGGCAGGAGGATCACTCGCCCCAGGAGATTGAGGGCCCAGTCTCAAAAAAAAAAAAAAAAAAAAAAAAAAAAAGAGAGAGAGAGAGAGAAAGAGATATCAAAGTTTTATATACAATTCAAATTTTGTTTATTCAGGAGTTTTATTTAAACTTTGAATTTGAAAGAAAGTTGAGGAAGCACGCCCGAGATGGGTGGAAAGAAGCGAATTTACATTATTTTCTCTATTCTGAAATCTTAATTCATGTATTTTTATCTTTTGCTGAATTTTAACATATTGTTTCATCACTAAGATAAAGTGTTTCAATAGTGTTTGTAACTCACACGCAAATATTGTTATTAAAAGTTATTTATCTGAGTATATTTTTGTGGCAGGTGGTCCACTTTACATCGGTTTCCAGACGACTGGAATTTGAGGCAACTTCTCAGACAGTGGTCCCTTTGTTTCACCTGGCATACGTCTTCATTATACTGTTTGCAGTCACATCATGCTGCAGGTAAAAAGCTTTGATTAGTTTTTGAAACTCTTGCTTTATGAAAAATATTTTATTGTGGTAAAATATAATATGACATAAAATATGCTATTATAGTCATTCTTAAGTTTACAATTCAGTGGCATTGATTACATCCACACCGGCATGCAACCATTACAACTATGTTTTCAAATATTTTGCATCATCCCAAACAGGAACTCTGCTACCGTTTTGCAATAAATTCCCCATCACCACCACCCTCCCCCACCCAGTGCCAGTTAACCTTTAATCTACTTTGTCTCTATGAATTTTCCTAAAGATTTTATATAAGTGGAATCATATAATTGCCTTTTTGTGACTGTCTCATTTCATTAGGCATAATGTTTTCAAGGTTCATCCTTGTAGCATGTTTCAGAACTTCATTCCTTTTTATGGCTGAATAATACCAAGTTCTCCAACTTTGTTCTTCCTCTTCAAGATTATATAGATCATCCGAGACTCCTTGAATTCCATATGAATTTAAGAATTGGATTCTCTATTTCTCGGGGGGACATGGTTATCAGAATTTTGATCGGGATTGTGTTGAATCTATAGATTATTTTGAGTAGGACTGTTATTTTAGCAATATGGAGTCTTCCAACCCAGGAACTAAGGATCTTTCCATTTATCTAGATCTTTTTAAGTTTCTTTTACCAGTGTTTGGTAGTTTTCAGTGTGCAAGTCCCTCACCACCTTGGTTAAAGTTATTCCTAGGTGTTTTATTCATTTTGAGCAATTTAAATGGAAATACGTTCTTAATTTCCTTTTTGGATTGTTCATTGCACATGTATAGAAATACAACTAATTTTGGGGTATTGATATTGTATCCTGAAGCTGTGCTGAATTTATTAACTCTGGTAGTTTTCTTCTGGATTCTTTAGTGTTTTTCATATATACAGTCATGTAATCTCTGAGAAGGGAGAGTTATATTCCTTCCTTTCCAATTTAGATGCTTTTATTTACGTTTCTTATCTAATTGCTCTGGCTAGAACTTCCAGTACAATATTGAATATCAGTGGTGGAAGTGGAAGTCTTTTCTGTCTTGTTTCTGATCTGATATTAGAGAAAAGTTTTCATTCTTTCACCCTTGAGTATGATGTTAGTTTTTCTATTTTTATAAATGCTTTTATTATTTTGAGGAATTTTTCTTCATATTCCTAGTTTTTAGTGTTTTTATTATGAAAGGGTGTTGGATTTTGTCAAATGCCTTTTTAACATCTATTGAGATGATCATGTGGTTGTTGTCCTTTGTTCTATAAATATGGCATATTACATTGATTGACTTTCTCCTGATGACTCACTCTTACCCTTCTGGGATAAATCCCACCTGGCTGTGACGTATAGTCCTTTTATTATGCTTTGGATTGGACTTACTAGCATTTGTTAATGACTTTGCACCTATATTCATGAGAGCTATTGGTTTGTAGTTTTCAGTTCTTGTGATGTCATTGTCTGGTATTGTATCAGTGTAATTATGGTCTCCTAGAGTGAGTTAGGAAGTGTTCCCTCCTCTTCGATTTTTTGGAAGAGTTTGAGAAGGATTCCTGTTACCTCCACTTTAGATATTTGGTAAAATTCATCAGTGAAATCTGGCCCTGGACTTTTCTTTGTTGAGAGTTTTTCAATTACTGGTTTAATATTTTGTTATGCATCTGTTGAGATTTTTTCTTTCACTTTAAGTCAATGTGGGTCATTTGTGTTTTTGTAGAAAGTCATGTTCATCTAGGTTATCCAGTTTGTGGACATACCGTTTTTAATAGTATTCTCTTATAAACTTCTCTATTCCTAAAAGGTCAATAGTAACGTCTCTGCTTTCATATCAGCTTGGGTTATTCATGTATTCTCTCCTTTTTTCTTTGTCACACTAAATAAAATTTAATCAGTTTTGTTGATCTTTTCAAGGAACCAGATTTTGGGTTGATTAATTCTATTGTCTTTCTTTTCTGTATTTACCTCTGTTCAAATCATATTCTTTCCTTCCTTCTTCCTGTGGTTTGAATGTTTGTATCCTCACAAAATTCCCTTGTGGAAATCTAATTCCTGGTGTGATAGTAATAAGAGATGGGGCCTTTAAGGAGTGATCAGAATGGGATTAGTACCCTTATAAACCAGTTCTGAGGGAGCTTGTTAGTCCCTTCCCCCATGTAAGGACATAGCAAGAAGACACCATCTATGAAACAAAGAGTAAACATTCACTAGGCACTGAATCTATTGGCCTTGACATTGGATTTCTCAGCCTCTACAATTGTAAGAAGCAGTTTTCTGTTGTTTATAGGTTTCCCAGTCTACGATATTTTGTTATAGTGGGCAGAACAGACTAAGACACCTCTGTTAGCTTCAGGTTTGGTTTTTCCTCCCTTTCCTAGAACCACAAGGTGTTAACTTATTGGTTTGAAGTCTTTTTCTTTTTAATGTCGGTATTTATAGCTATAAATTCCCCTCTGAGCACTATTGTCACTGTATCCCATAACTTATGGTATGTTATGTGTTCATTTTCATTTTTAACTATTTTCTAATGTCCCTTGATTGTTTAATAGTGTATTATTTCATTTTTGTAGATGTATTAATATTCCAGGTTTCCTTCTATTATTGATTTTTAGCTTTATTCTATAATTGGTTAGAAAAACATACATTGTATAACTTCAGTCATTCAAAATTTATTGAGACTTGTTTTACAGACTAACATATGGTCTATCCTGGAGAATATTCCAAGGGCACTGGAGAAGAATATATATCCTACTGTTGCTGGGTTGAGTCTTATTCCTGTAGGTTCTAATTGGTTTGTAGTGTTGCTCGTTTTCTCTGTGTCCTTATTGATATTTGACTCAGATGCTCTATGCATTGATGAAAGTGGTATATTACATTCGCCAAACTTTTTTTTTTTTTTTTTGAGACGGAGTCTCACTCTGTCACCCAGGCTACTAGAGTGCAGTGGCACAATCTTGCCTCACTGTAACCTGCTTCTGCAAAGTTCAAGCGATTATTCTGCCTCAGCTTCCTGAGTAGCTAGGATTACAGGTGTGCATCACCACGCTTATCTGGTTTTTGTATTTTTAGTAGAAATGACATTTAACCATGTTGGCCAGGCGGTAAGTCACCACGCCTAGCCCTCTCCAGCTATTAGTGTAGAGCTCTCTATAGTGCCCTTACTTCTGTCATATTTACTTAATACTGTATATGTTGGGTCTCTGTTATGCAGTGCACATACATTTAGAGTTGTTATAGCTTTTTGGTGAATTGGCCCTTTTATCAATATATAATGTACTTCTTTATCACTAAGTCTATTTTGCCTGATGTTAATATAGCCACTCCTGCTTTTATTTTGGTTACTATTTGTGTAAAGTATCTTTTAATATACTTTCAACTTACTTATATTTTTGGAGATAAAGTGAGTCTATAAACAGCATATAGTTAAATCATGTTGTTTTATCCATTCTGCCAACCTGTCTTTTGATTAGAGAGTTTAATCTATTTATATTTAAGGTAATTGCTGATAAGAGAAAACTTTTAACATTTTTTGTGTTCTGTCTTATACCTTTTTTGTCCTTCATTTCCTCTATATGCTTTCTTTTCTTCACATTTCTTTTTTCTTTTCAGACAGGGATGTGCCCTGTTGCCCAGGCTGCAGTGGTGTGGCACAATCATAGCTTACTGCAGTCTCGAACTCCTAAACTCAAGCAATCCTCCCACCTCAGCCTCCTGAGTAGCTAGAACTACAGGCACATGCCACCACATCTGGCTAATTTTTATTATCTTTTGTAGAGACAGGGTCTTGCTGTGTTGCTTAGGCTGGTCTTGAACTCCTGGCCTCAAGTGATCCTCTTACCTCAGCCTCCCAAACTGATGGGATTACATTGTGAGCCTCTCCTGCTGGTGGGTGCAGCATGAGCCACTACACCTAGTCACATTTCATTTTTTTAATAGGTATTTTCTTTTTCTGGTATACAATACACTTGGGAATTATACTGTACCAGGCATAAGTAGTAAGATTTCTATCACAGCGACATTCTATGATACTTTATGTTTAGTTTATATTTTTCTGGTGAGCTGTTTTGATTCTCTTTTCATCCCCTTTTGTGATATTTTTTGGAGATTTTCTTTGTGATTTCCATGGGGATTTTATGTAGCATCCTAAATTAAAAATAGTCTGTACTGAGTTGATACCAATTAAACTCCAAAACCATACAAAACCTCTTCTACTATCTGTCACATATTACATCTTTATACATTGTATGCCCTTCTGAAGACCAGAGTGGAATTAGCCATCAGCAGAGTTTTAGTGATTCTTTGTGTTTCCAAAATGCTTGTCAATGAATTAGCACTTGGCTGGCTGCAAAGAATCACACGTAGGAGAGTTGGTTAAAGTACAGATTTACAGATTTCCTACTTCTCTGCCCCCTTTCTTATTTTTTTTTTCAGTTGGTCTGAGAAAGTGCTTGGGAATTAAATGTCTCCAGCAGATATGTGTGGAAATTATTGCCCTAGAGGTTTCTACCTAGGTGTCCCCGTCAAGAATGTTATGCGTGGATGAAAGCCACCACCACAAATTACACAGTTTTTCCCTCCAAATTTACAGGTTTGACTGCATACGAAACAAAATGTGTGTTGCAGCCTTTGGAGTGATTTCTGCTTTCTTGGCAGTGGTGAGCGGCTTTGGCCTGCTCTTGCACATTGGGGTGCCATTTGTCATCATAGTTGCCAATTCGCCATTTCTTATTCTAGGTGAGTAAAACACAGCAGGAGGCTACACACTGCATATGTGGCGGGGTAGGATATCTAAGGGAAAGAATTGTATGGAGGCAGCTCTATAGTCCAAAAATGAGGTACCAGGAAATAGGGAAGTGTCATTGAACTGGGTATCTCTAGAAGTGGAAAGATCAAGTATCCCAGTGGAAAAACAGACCATGTACATGAACAGCAGTTCACATGCAAAAATCAAAATATAAGTCACTAAAAATACAGCCATGCATCAATTAACACGGAGGGTCTGAGAAATGCGTCCATAGGCAATTTTGTCATTGTGCAAACTTCCTAGAGTGTAATTACACAAACCTAGATTGTATATCCTACAATGCACCTAGGCTCTGTTGGCCTCTTGCTCCTAGGCTGCAAACATGTACAGCATGTTACTATACTAAATACTATAGGTAACTGTCATACAATGGTAAGTATTTGTGTATCTAGATATATCTAAACATAAAAAAGGTACAGTAAAAGGCCGGGTACGATGGCTCACACCTGTAATCCCAGCACTTTGGGAGGCCGAGGCAGGCAGATCACGAGGTCAGGAGTTCGAGACCAGCCTGGCCAATATGGTGAAACCCTGTCTCTACTAAAAATACAAAAAATAGCTGGGCATGGTGGCATGTGCCTGTAATCCCAGCTACTCAGGAGGCTGAGGCAGGAGAATTGCTTGAACCCAAGAGACAGAGGTTGCAGTGAGCTGAGATCATGCCACTGCACTCCAGCCTGGGCAACAGAGGGAGACTCCATCTCAAAAAAAAAAAAAAAATTTTCTTTCTTCAATAATAAATTAACCTTAACTTACTGTAACTTTTATTTTATAAACTTTTAAGTTTTTTTAACTTTTTGACTTTTTGTGATAACACAGCTTAAAACAGAAACATGTTGGACAGTGGTACAATAATATTTTCTTTCTTTATGTCTTGGGATAAACAAACATATTGCTCTGCCAGTCTTATGAAAGTATAGCACATACCATTTTGTACACAACATAATACTTAATAAACAATTGTTACTCCTTTATGTATTCACTATGCTAAATTTTATGTCATTATTTTAGAGTGTACTCTAACTTATGAAAAAAATAGTTAACTGTAAAATAGCTTCATGTAGATTATTCAGGAGGTATTTCAGAAGAAGGCATTGTTATCATAAGAGACAACTCCACGTGTCCTGAAGAACTTCCAGTGGGACAGGATGTGGAGATGGAAGACAGTGATAGTGATGATTCTGGCCCTATGTAGGCCTAGGCTAATGGGTATGATTTTGGGGGTTTTTTGTTTGTTTGTTTGTTTTTTGAGTTGGAGTCTCTCTCTGCCACCCAGGCTGAAGTACAGTGGCTCAATCTCATCTCATTGTGACCTCCGCCTCCTGGGTTTAAGCAATTCTCCTGCCTCAGCCTCCCAAGTAGCTGGGGGACTATAGGCACACACTGCTATACTAATGTGTGTTTCTGTATCTTAGTTTTTAATAAGTTTAGAAAGTAAAGAAATTTTAAAAATTTTTAAATAGAAAAAGCCTTATAGATTAAAGATATAAGGAAAGAAAATATTTTTGTACAGCTATCCAATGTTTTTGTGTTTTAAGCTGTGTTATCACAAAAAGCCAAAAAAATTTTTAAAGACTTAAAAGTTTGTAAAATAATAAAGTTACCATAAGCTAAGGTTAATTTATTATTAAAGAAAGAAAAATAGTTTTAAAATAAATATAGTGTAGTCTAAGCATCCAGTGTTTATAAAGTCTACAGTAGTATATAGGAATGTCCTTCACACAAACTCTACAAAATGGCTTAGATTAAATCAATTGTATACATCTTAACTATAGTTATTTATGGCTGTGAGGTACACTGGATGATTAGGTGTGAGTGTGGACAAGGGAAGTATGACTTGAAAAACTAGAATAAGTACACAATTCACTGTCTCCCCCAGAAAACCAAATACCAGTTTTTCCGAGATACTTACTTTCTAAAATACAAACACCTTTATTTTCTCATGTTTACTGTAAAATAAATTCTGAACTTACCAAAAATATAAAGAAAAATGGAAAATGGTAATTCTACCCTTGCAGGATAATTTCTGGTAATGTTTTTATGTATATCCATCCAGAATTTGTTCTATGCAAATATGCACATAGAGCCATCTCCCTATTTCAAACATCTTATTTTATAACAAGAAATTTTCATTTAACATTAAATATCTATCTCTTTAAAAAGACTGAGTATGACTCTAATCTAATGCTAGGCTTGATTTGGTCCATCCCATATTGTTACGGGTTATGTTGTTTTCAATATTTTCCTACTATAAATTATATCAAAATGAACACACTTGTTCTACTTTTGAGCATTTGTCCAATTAGGACAAATTCCTAGAAGTAGAATTATAGGTCGAAGTTATTCCCTCTTTAAGTCTTTTGCTTTGTTGCAAACATGGACTGAAAAAGGGTGTACCAATTTACTTTTCTCCCTAGCAGATGACAAGTGTGTTCATTTGCAGACAACCATCCAAAAATCCTCAGTCTTGTTAATATTGATTAATAAGAAAAACAAGTGTCTCACTTGTGGTTTAATTTTCATCCCTTGATTAATTGAAAGGTCAAATATTTTCTTCTTATACCATTATGAACTACATAACAGTGTTCTGGTCAAAGAAAGACTGCATATACAAGGCAGACCACATATACAATGGTTGTCCCAGAAAGTTATAATGGAGCTGAAAAATTCCGATCACCTATCAATATCACAACCATCCTACTGTCATAATGCAATTCATTACTCACATGTCTGGTAGGAAGTTTGAGGGAGGTGAAATTTATCTGCAACCTGCTCATGTTGCACTTTTCAGTTCACTTTTTTTTGTGACCCTCCTTTCCCGGGCTTCAGTCATAACTTGAAAATCCTCAGATGTTCTCCTATCCACCAAATCTGAAAGGTCATTGAGGAAAGGAGCTAATTATCTAGTAGGCATTCACATATAAAGAATGTAAAGAATTCTTAAGATTTACCTTGACATATTTTTCTGATCTCATTATAATGACCTGGGCAAGTGACATCGGAATACTAGCATTCTAGGTATCAGAAACAAACTAGCAGAAAAGTTACAGTTGTGCATGTGCCTGTGTGACTTCTAAACTGTGTGTTGCCTCTCAGATTATATCACAGAGATAGCCAGATGCTAACTGTAGAACAAGTTAAGTCTAACTTATATTTTAAGCAACAGAATGTTGGCTGGATATGTCTGTACATGAGCATGAAATATAAGAGAAAATGATCTGTCAAGCAATCTACTGGAATCGATGATACACTGCCAATGCTCATTTGATTAACACCCATCTAGCCAGGTTTTCTGATCTCATCATGGAAACACCCTAAGCGAAGAGTAGAGTATACTGTGCTATGTGCAATCATAGATGTATGTACGAAGCAAATACTTATTATGAAGGAAGTTGTGATGAGTTCTGTGGTAAATTCAGAGGCAACCAGGGAAAGCATCACAGAGAAGATAGTATTTAAGCAGAGATTGGGCAAGATAAATAAAACCTTAAGAGATAGAAAAAGAAAATGGTTTAAATCGACCTATTTAATTTTCAGTGGATAATAGTATGTATGAAGATTCTGTTTCTTTTTTTTTTTTTAACAGGTGTTGGGGTCGATGACATGTTTATCATGATTTCTGCCTGGCATGAGACCAGCCTCGCAGATGATATACGAGAGCGGATGTCCAGTGTCTATTCCAAAGTGGCAGTATCCATTACAATCACCACCGTTACTAACATCCTGGCCTTCTATACAGGGGTTATGAGCTCTTTTAGGTCCGTACAATATTTTTGCATCTATACAGGAACAAGCCTGTTATTTTGCTATTTTTATTCCATCACCTGTTTTGGAGCACTTATGGCCTTAGATGGTAAAAGAGAAGTAGTCTGCCTACGCTGGTTGGAAAAGGCTGACCCAAAATGGTCCTCATTTAAAAAGTCCTGCTGTTTCCCATTTGGTTCTATTTCAGATGAACATGGAACTGATAAGCATCCAGTGACTTTGTTTTTTAGAGACTATTTTGGCCCTTTGCTCACAAGCACTGAGTCCAAGTTTTTTGTAGTCTTTCTATACATTTTGTACCTCACAAGCAGTATTTATGGGTGTTTCCAAGTGGAGGAAGGTTTAGACCTTCGAAATCTGGCAAGTGATGATTCCTACATCACACCATATTTTAATGTAGAGGAAGATTATTTTTCAGATTATGGCCCCAGGGTTATGGTTATTGTTACTAAAAAAGTTGACTACTGGGATAAAGATGTTAGGCAAGAACTGGAAAACTGTATTAAAAGTTTTGGAAAAAATGACTATGTAGATGGAAAGTTTACAGAGTTTTGGTTAAGCGCATATGTGCAATATTTAAAAGGTAAGAGCCAAGATCCTAATGATAAAAATACTTTTATGAATAATATTCCTGATTTTTTTAGCCATTTTCCAAATTTTGAGTATGATGTTAATATTTCATCATCAAATGAAATCATTTCTTCCCGGGGCTTCATTCAGACAACAGATGTCTTTTCCTCAAGGGATAAGAAAATAATGTTATCCCAATTACGAAACACAGCTGAAAACTGTCCAATTCCCCTAATGGTGTACAACCACGCATTTATATATTTTGATCAGTATGCTGCAATAGTAGAAAACACTGTTCGAAATGTCATGGTGGCATCAGCAGCTATGTTCATTGTTTCCTTGTTGTTAATTCCTCATCCGATGTGTTCCTTGTGGGTGACTTTTGCTATTGGTTCTGTGATTGTAGGAGTAACGGGTTTCATGGCATTCTGGAAAGTTAATCTTGATTCCATATCCATGATTAATCTTGTCATTTGTATAGGGTTTTCTTTCGATTTTTCTGCACACATTTCCTATGCATTTGTTTCTAGTCCTCAGCCCTCAGTAAACCAAAAATCAATTGAGGCATTATATCTTCTAGGCTACCCAGTGTTACAAAGTGCAGTTTCAACAATAATAGGGGTGTGTGTTTTAGCTACAGCAAAAGCATACATCTTCAGAACATTTTTTAAGATTATGTTTCTTGTTATGGTATTTGGGGCTGCTCATGGCCTAATTTTTATTCCAGTATTCTTGACCTTTTTTTGAAGGTTTATTTGAATATCCACTAACAAATCAAAGACCAATTCTAGAATTCTTGATTGCCCCAATCCAATCTGATTTTTTAAATGCACCGTTAATTATAGTCAACAAACTTGTTGGGAGGCCAAGGCGGGTGGATCACCTGAGGTCAGGAATTTGAGACCAGCCTGGCCAACATGGTGAAACCCCATCACTACTGAAAACACAAAAATTAGCCAGGTATGGCAGCATGCACCTATAATCACAGCTACTCAGGAGGCGGAGGCAGGAGAATTGCTTGAACCCAGGAGGCAGAGGTTGCAGTGAGCTGAGATCACGCCATGGCATTCCAGCCTGGGTGACAAGAACAAGACTCCTTCTCAAAAAAAAAAAAAGTATAGTCAACCAACTAAAAACAAGGGCATGTTTCCTTGACTTGGAAATCCCATTTTAAATTATTATTTTAAATATCCTGATAAAAATTAATTAGTCTTATGTTAAAATATCTTCACTAAATTAGGAAGTGTTATCTTTCTTACAGTCTTTACAATCAAGTATAAGGTACAACTTTTCAGTTATGTTTTCCCTTTATATTTATGCCTGGAATTCAACTATTGTATATATTATTTATACTATTAATGGAATATTATTTTCATTGTACTTGCTGTATGCATTCATATGTGAAAATGCATCTTATTTATTTTCCCATTCAGGGGATTTTCTATGCATTTTGTTAATGGTATATTTTGATAAGCAGAAGTTTTTAAAGTTTATAAATCCAATTTATCTTTTTTTTATGGTTAGTGCTTTCTGTATCCTAAGAAATATTTTGACTACTCCAAGGTTACAAATAAAGTCATCTGTGTTTCCTCCTCTAAGCGAATAGTTTTGATTGTACATTTAGGTCTGTGATCCACATGTGTGTATTTGTTGGGCAGTATGGATAAAGGTTCATTTTCTTCCTGTAAAAGCTGCCCATTTGTCTCAGCATCATTTGTGAAAAGACTATCCTTCAACATGGATTAACCTGGCACCTATTAAAAAAAACCAACTGGCAATTTACATGCGGTTGTAATTTTGTGCCATTGATCTGTCTGCACTAAGGCCAATATCACCACACTGCCTTCATTACCGAAGCTTTATATTCATTATTGAAATTAGCCTGTGTATGTTATCCACTTTTATCCTCATTAATCTTTCTGATTTCAAAGTTGATCTTTGTTATTTTCTTTCTTTTTTTTTTTTTTTTTTTTTGGCGAATTCACCCATGACACTGTCACTCAGGCTGGAGTGCAGTGGTGCGATCATAGCTCACTGCAGCCCAAACCTCCTGGGCTCATGTGATCCTCCCTTCTCAGCCTCCTGAGTAGCTGGGACTACATTTGTGCTATTACATCTGACTAATTTTTCGTTTTAATTTTTTTTTTTTAAGAGACAGGGTCTTGTTGTGTTGTCCGGGCTAGTTTTGAAATCTTGGCCTCAAGCAATTCTTCTGTCTCAGCCTCCCAAACTGCTGGGATTACAGGTGTGAGCCACCATATCAACATTTTGTTACTTTTTTATCTTAAACTCTATAAACCAATATTGTTTTTTTAAAGAAGGTATTCATCATAATAAAATTATACTGTTTAAACAAAGCAATTCATTTTTGCCCTGGAACTTGGTTTTGGCCCTTGAATTTAACTCATCACACCAGTGGGTTGGGAAAAGTGAAAAACAGCAACAGTGTAGAAGTTCTATTATGATTAGAAATGTTAGCTATTTAAATGTAATCTTGCCTAAAGATTTTAGCTGTGTTCTTGCTGTTTTGGAATTAGTGGCTCCAGCTCCTTAGTTATCTCTCCCCAGACATCAATTCCAAATTAGTTTCTTTTCCTCACTAAAAATACTGGGAGGGTAATGTCAGCACAAACGGGGTAGAATGTAGCTCCAAGAGCCCATTTCGCCACAAAAATTAAAAATTGAAAAAAGCAAAAACTGTTAGAAAATAATCTAATTGAACTCTGGAAAATGGTCCAAGGTTTACACCAAACCAAGTGGTTGAATCTGATTCAAGTGGACCTTGAATCAGAAAAAAAAAAGCAACTTAAAAATGGTAGGAAAACCTTGTGTCATTTTTATTTGCCCTGATCTCACCCCCTTTCCCTGGCTCGATAGTGACAGTGGTCCTAAGAAGGTAGCCTAGGCCAGGCGTGGTGGCTCACGCCTGTAATCCCAACACTTTGGGAGGCCAAGGCAGGTGGATCACCTGAGGTCAGGAGTTCGAGACCAGCCTGGCCAACATGGTGAAACTCAGTCTCTACTAAAAATACAAAAATTAGCCAGGCATGGTGGAATGCGTGCCTGTAATTCCAGCTGAGGAGGCTGAGGCAAGAGAATCACTTGAGCCCAGGAGGCAGAGGTTATAATGAGCTGAGATTGTGCCATTGCACTTCAGCCTGGGTGACAGGGCAAGACTCCGTCTCAAAAAAAATTTTTTTTAAAGAAGGTAGCCAACATTTATTTCTACCAGGCATGGGACCCAGGTTCCTAGTTCCAGAGAAAGAAAAGATCTCATTCACAAAGAGTTTGTCTATATAAACATGTCTACGAGCTATTGGAAAACTGACACAAAGCACTTATCCTTGTTCACCTTACCCAGAACTCACTCATGGTGAAAAGGCAGCAAGAATTTTTTAAAAATATTTTAAGGCAAATGAACAGCCCACAAACACCAGGGTCAAAAAGTTACTGTTGGGATATTCAATAGTGCCCAAAAGCCAGGGAGCGAAGGCTACGCAAAGAGTTTCTTTGTCAAATTAAGGCATTCAAAAGCACCTTTATATACTGGGAATTTGTGCGTGTGTGTCTGTAAGTTAGAGTCTCACTCTGTTACCCAGCCTGGAGTACAGTAGCATGATTTCAGCTCTCTGCAACCTTTGCCTCCCAGGTTCAAGCCTCCTGGGTAGCTGGTACTATAGATAGGCACCACAACACCCAGCTAAGTTTTATATTTTTAGTAGAGATAGGGTTTTGCCATTTGGCCAGGCTGGTCTCGAACACCTGACTTCAGTTGATCCATATACTGAGAATTTTAAAGCCATGCACATGCTCAGGGCAGGGCACATACTCAGAAAGGAACTGTGAAAACTTGAAGCTTTAACCTCTGGCTGATTAGTCCAGTCCAGCAGGAAGTGAAGGGGATGCTGTAGCTCCCTCGAGGTATGTGACCCCAAAGGAGCCCACCAAGGTGATGCTTCCCTGGGGTGCCTCACCTCTATGGGATTGCACAAGGGTAGGGGACAGGACCAAGCAATACCAGGGTGCTAGGTCTCTCTAGTAGCACAAGTAGTCTCCACGAGCAAATGGATGTATTCCCAGAAGAGACCAAGCAACTCATAGGGGATGCTGCAGCTTTTCCTGTGGCTACCTGGGGCCCAAGATTCAAACACAGGCCTACCAAAAATATGGCATTATTTAGTGATGGCTCCATGAAACTAAAAGCAGGTGGGGTCCATTGGGTTGTATCAGTGGATGGCCATCTTTTGACTTAGACTGAACACAGATGTTCCAACCAACCAACCAAACTACCTGCAGTGGTAATGGCCAAGCAGGCCACCCCTATCACCATATTGCTACATTTTCACTGACTCATGGGCCACTGCCAGCAGCCTAGCCAAATGGTCAGGAGAATGGCGGCTGAGTGACTAGACTATTAAAGGATCCCCTGTATGAGGACAAGGACTATGCCAACAGCTTCCTGCCTGGAAGGGACATATACATGTCACTCATGTGGACACTAGGAATACCATAGCCACCTTATGTCATGTTTTTTGGATACTCTGTGAAATGTCCTGTTAACCTATGAGCATCCTTCACTGCCCAAGCAACAAGACACGTGTTACACTCTCAGAGGATATGATGAGCTTTCCATGCACCCTATTATGCATCGGCCAGTGAAACCATTAAATGATGGAACAGCCGATTCACACAGCAACTAAGGAGAGAACGTCAAGACAACGTGCTGGTGGGATGGTACCCGGGCACTAAACACAATGAAAATGCAGCATTGTAACACATGTTGAGAAACACTGAGCTTGGTAAGGGTGGTGGTGGACCAGGCAGCTGCCTGATTGGCCTGAGCCTGCAAAATCCTCCTGTTTCCAACAATTATTCTTTTTTTGCTTTAGAGAGCATGTCCTGTGGGTGGTTTGCAGTTAGGCTGCCACAGTACCCCAGATAGGGCCCTCTTACTCTAATCTGGAGGCAATGCTTCCCCTCAGCGCCTCTCTTCCCCTCTATGTGATCTCACAAGGGTAAGTGACAAAACCAAGGAATACAAGGGTGCTAGGGTCCCTCTAGGAACACTAGGGACATCGGATCCTTCCAGTCAGGTGGGCAATGTTATCAGGCATATTAAGTTTGTACAGGACACGACCTCTCTTCTTAGACTGGACAACTGAGCCCAAAAGGTGTGGGTTAAGCAGT